CTCTGCAGGGTGTGGGGCGGGGTGAGCTGTGAGTCTTGAGGTCTTCAGTCCAGGACCTGGGCTGCTGGTCAGGTCCCTTGCCCTACTCCTACTTTTCTTTAGGACACTCAATTCCATCAATCACCCTCCAGGGCATTAATGGTTAGTGGTCATTTTAATGGCTTTTCCATGGTTCCAATAGGAAGCAGGTTCCCTGCTCCAGGGCCTTGTTCCCTGCTCTTCCCTGTTAGGGCAAGCGAGCTGGCTCCCCTGTGCAGGGGGGAAGGCTCTGTGCCGCAGGGCCCCGGGAGCTCAGGGAAGGGAAGGTGCTGAGCAGCATTCTGGGGTGCAGGAAAACTTAGACTCACCAATTACACCAATATCAACAGTTCTCCAATGTGCTGAGAACCTACTGGAGACCAGGCATTGAGCTTCCTGTTGGGAATGGCGACTGCTTACGAAGCCAGCCCCTCTACTCTGTCTGCCTTCAGCCTTCTCCCCTCCTGGGTAGATAATCAGACCTCCTTTTTTCCTTCTTCATCCCAGGGTGGCGCATGACCTCCCCACTCTGCCTGGAGCCCCTCGACTGAAGGAGACATGACTTTCCTGCTGGTTCCATTCAGTCCTCAGGTTTGCCCATGACTAAGGGGTTTCCTGGAAGGCAGGACTTTCGGTGCTAAAACCAGGAGAGTTTCTGGCCACACCAGAAAGTCTGGTCACCCTAGGTGTCTGTGTGGGGCCCCTCAGTCCTGTTTAGAGGAGACAACGGGCTCATAAACAGGCAATTACAGCAAAGCAGGTGAGTCTAGGCTGCAGAGGATCCCAGAGGAGAAGGCTTCCTAGTACCAGGGCTGAGCCTTAAAAGGAGGATACAAACATTTAGAGCAAAGAAAATATTGTAAGCAAATACGGGAGTAGGGGGACATGGTACTGCAGGCTCTGGGCCCCCACCCCCCCGGATCTGTACTGGTCTTTCCAATGATGCGAATGTCCAGGCCCCCCTGTACTCCCTCTCCCTGGTCACGTCCATCCTTTCTGGAACCTGTGTGGGCTGCACAGATTGTGTACATTGTCCCGGCAAAGCCTGGCCCAGAATTACTAAATGAGAAACAGCTGGGAGGCAGCCTTTGTCGTGCACTCAGGGAACTGGGCAGTGTCCTGCTACCTTGGCTGCATGAACAAATTCCGAATTCCAGGTCAAAGAGTCCCATCTAGTAAATCCCAGATCCATTATTCCGGATGGCCATCAAGTTCTCAGCTGCTTACATGGGACCCAGGAGTTCAGTGGTAGGTTCCCTAGTCCTGGGACATGTGAAAGAATAAAGCAAAGGTCAAACCTGTCCTCAGAAAAGATCTGGGATGAGCTCTCCCTGCAGTACTGAGAAGGCAGAATGTAGAGTCTCTCAAAGTGTGTCTGGGCTCAGCTGTATCACAATCTCCTGGGCAGCAATTCCTAGGCCACCTTCTACTAGAAATACTGAATCGTAAGTGCTAAGGCTGGGACCTAGGAGTCAAGAACATTTTGAACAATCATCTAAAGAGATTCTTCTGCTTAACTGTCTTGAGGACAGTTATTGTTAATAAAACATAAAGCTTATGTCAAAGAAATTAATCTTCACTGTAAAACTTCCAGAATCAGTCTAACAAGAATTTCTCAGCCTCAGCATGACTGACTTGTGGACCAGATACCTGGGGTGGGGTGGGGGTGGGGGGTGCCTATACATAATGGGATGTTTAGCAGAATCTCCAGCCTCGACATGCTGGCAACAGCCTGAAGATGTGAAAACAGACAAACCAAAACCAGAAAAATTTTCCAGACATTGCCCAATGACCCCGAGAGACAAAGATCTCCACCTTCCCCTCAAATCCTCCTCCTAAAATCTGATGTCGGTCCAGTGTAAGGAGTGTGTTCACCATTCTTTAATGACCTCCAGCCAGGCTCTGCCCAGACTGGACCCCAGCCTTCCTCACCACTTCCCACTGGCTGACTGGGGACTGAAGCCAGTTCCTGCCCCGCTCCCTCCTGCTTTCCCAGCTCCCTTTCCTGATATTCACCCTTCCACCTAATCACCATTCCTGCCACAGTGCTTGGATGCCCCTTGCCACCTGGCCCCTTCTGTGGCAGGGGAGACTCTGGAAGGGTGGCATAGCTTCCCAGCTTACCAGTGGTACAGACAGGGATCCTAGGAGATGGCCTATGTGGAAGAATTTTCATTTTGTAAAAATAGGAAGTTTATTTTTGTTCTTATCACAAAGTAAACATGGTCATGGCAGAAAATTAGGCCAGTACAGAAAATGATAAAGCAAAAACAATGGTCACTCATAATTCAACTGCCCAGACAGCCAATGTTGACATTTAGGAGGCTTCCACTTGGCTTTTACTGCCACCTTGGTTGGGTTAGGGGCAGGGATAGATACCAGGCAGACAGAACACTTGACCAAGGACAGTAACAAGCATTCACCCTTCCAAGTTCAGATCTGTTTTATTCAGATGCAGGTGACTCAGTC